CTCCTCTCCCATAACCTCCCGGCGACAGCTCCCACTCCGTCGTCTCCTTCTCCTTCATTATAGTTCTGCACATGTTCGCAATCGCCTCCCATCCCTCTTCACTCTTCAGCATCACCGTCTCCATGTTGGATACACTAATTTTCTGGCCACACTTCTTTTCACACACCCCTCTTGCCCTCTCAAACTGGCGACACGAAAACAGAGTGTGCCACGCCGTGTCGCTCTCCCCGCAGAACCAGCACTCGTCATTATCCGCTTTTCCGATCTTATACAGGTATGAGCCAAAGACGCCGTGACCCGTCAGCGCCTGTGCCAGGTAAAAATCTATTTCTCCCCATTTTCTTTCTCTCCACGATGCTATATCAGATATTAACACTCTAGTCCACCCTTCGTAGCCTTTCCATCTCTCCTGCCACATCTCCACCGTTCTCTCTTTGAGCTCGTTTGCCACATCTTTCCCCCTTTCGTATAAGAGACTTCTCTCTTCCACCAACAAATCAAGAGGTGGCATACCAGCAACAACCTCAGCAGCCTCCCCCGATACCGTTCGATAAGCAGCCATAACCCCTATCGCCAGCCTTCTATTCGCCGCTCGCAGCATACCTGCGTATTTTTTGTACAGTATGGCTTTCTTCCAAATCGGTGCCGCATACAGTATCACTGACACCGCCGCCGAGGCAATCACCTTCCTTTTACTCGCCATCGGTCCACCAACATTCTCCTACCTTGTAGAAGGACCATCTCCGTCTTGGACTCCGCCACAGTCAGCCCCATATCACTCAGCTTTCGAATCACCCTGTTCGCGGCATGGGTAGCCCGGTCTTCCAATTGTCTTCTATCTCCTGCCTTCACCACCAGCGCCAGATCATCTGCGTACGCCAGCATCTGCACGCCCCTCTCCATCTTCACTCTCAGAACCGCATCATAGAACAGATTGCAGAGTGTAGGGCCCAAAATGGATCCCTGTGGGACCCCGCTTGTGACTGGAAATCTTTTGCCGTTCGGACTCACCACGAATCTGTCTGACAAGTACGATTTGACTAAATCGACCAGATAACGACTTACACCACCCTCTTCTAGGGCCTTTACAATTCCCTTCCAGGGCGCTGAATTAAATATTATTGTTATTTTGTTATTTTTGTTGGTTATATTATGTACTAGTCGACTTAAGTTCTGAAATTTGTAATTAGGGGCAACCCTGTAATTTCGGAAGTAAAATAAATAAATAAATAAATAAATGCATTCTGCACGTCCAGCATAATCATTACGCAGTATTCCTGGTTATTCAATGCCTGATGCCTGATCGTGGACCTTCCCTTTCTAAAACCATATTGATCTTCATGCAATAAATTCTTTTCCTCAATCTCCAGATGTAATCTTTCTCTTATTATTATCTCGAACAGTTTTCCCATGGTATTACACATGCAAATCGGTCTGTATGTCGGTCCTTCTATTGCATTCTTTTTTGGTTTCTCAATGAGGGACAGATTCGCCACTTTCCAGGGTCTCGGGAATTGGCCAGTTTTCATACAGCCATTATACATATTTACGAACGCGTTTTTATTTCCCATTACTGTTTCGATTAGGATTTCAGGTATTATCCCATCAGGTCCCGGAGCTTTCTTTCTTCTAATACATCTCACAGCGTTATCCACTTCTTCCACGGTTATCGGAGGGTACTCATCTCTTTGTCTCTCACCCTGAATCCATATAAATTCTTCATGTTTTGGAAAGAGTTTATCAATCTGGCGCAGAACTTCACTCTCCTCTATCGGCGCTCTATTCCTTAGCTTAAGCTTCATCGTCACGATCTTATACGCTTTCCCCCACACATCCTCATCCAAACTCTTTCTCAGTTCATTCCATTTTTCCCTCTTGCTCATCCCTATCTCTCTCTTTAGTTCCTTTTTAGCTAGTTTATGACTCGCGCGGACGTTCTCAACCGAGTCTCCCTCCCCAAATCTTTTTTTCGATCTAGTTAACTCTCTTCTCAATCCATTACAGGACGACCGAAGTTCTGCTATCTTAGCATTCCACCAATACACGGGCTGTCTATTACGTGCAACTCCCGATTTCCCAAATACATGGTCACATTTACTTCTAATTCTCTCCCATATACCCACTGGTGTCACCTCGTCGTATTCTGAGAATAGGTTTAAACATTCTTTCTGGTACTTTTTCAGCAGATCGTGACTAGTGCGCCATCTGTATTTGTTAAAATCTCGAGACTTTACACCCCCTGCATTTCTTATCTCAAATGTAATCGTTCTATGATCGCTCATATTTTCTTCATTTCTAACCCTCCAGCCCACAAGTTTATCTCCCAGCTCTTCCGAGGCTGCCGTAAAGTCTATAATCGACTGCCCCATGGCTCCTACAAAGGTGGGCTCCTTTGCTTCGTTTATCGCAACTAGATTATTCGATGTCAACCATTCCTCTAGTATTCGTCCTCTTTCGTTGCTACCTACGGACCCTATCACAGCCGTTTTCGCATTTAGATCCCCCCCACTATTATACTCTTTTTTATTCTCCTAAAGAGAGACTCCATGGAATATAACAGCTCCTCATAGTCCTCGATTACACTATTTGGGGAAAAATAACATGAGACGATAGCCTCCTTTTCCAATTCCACGCACACAAAACCCCTACCCTTAAAACTATCCAGCACCCTAACATCACTACATATATTAATAAAAGTATCACAGTTCATATCACTAAAATTCACCAATTCCCACTTCTTATTTTGTTCACAGCCTATTATCACATCGATTAGTTCCTCCTCTATTCTCTTCTCCATCATTTCGTGCGCCGCGTACACTCTATTAAAGTTCAGTTGGGCTACCTTTATTCTTCTATCGCCTCTTTTCTGCCTTGCGATACTGTCATTCTTAGCCATTTACTTTGCGGTCCGCCTTTCTGACTAAGGAGATTGCTGCCATAAATGCTTTGCATCTCCCTGTCCCCGCCTTATGACCTTCTACCTTGCACAGTGGGCACGCCTCGTTTTCTTTACACGTCTTATAGTCGTGTTCTCCCTTTCCGCACTTAAAGCAACACTTAGATCTGTCCGGACCCTTACACTCCTTCGCCGTGTGGTTATAGTCCCAACACCTGAAACACCTGTCTACATTAACCTTTCTCTCCACTCGGCATCTTGTAAGCCCGATTTTTAGAGGTCCTTTCTTTAACAGTGTTTCTGCCTTCCTTTTACTTATAGTGACCGTAATAGCCTGCGTATTATTTCTCATCGGTCTGAGCTCACTCGTCTGAATGTCGATATTAGTTTCCTCTAGCGTTCTTTCTATAGCTTCCTTGATCTCTTCTTTCTCCGTACTTATGTCCATGCCCCTTATGTAAAGTGTTTCTGTATCATCCCCAACTTTTCTCACTTCCATCCTCTCTCCTGGCATTGCCCGTATTGCTTCCTGTGCCTTCTCTATTACGTCTTGGTCCTTATCCGTAGTGATAAGGACCTTTCCATCTTTGGTACTCCTAATACTCTTAATGGATTTCCTGATATCCTCGTCTCCCAATGCTTTCCTTATATTTATGACCGAGTCCTTGAATGAACGTTCCCCCTTATCCACTACTAGGGCATAGCTCTTCCTCTCTTTTCTTTCTTCTCCCAGCTTATCTTTCGGTGCATTGGAGTATATAAATACCTTTATGTCTGTTGAGTGGAAAATTGCCTCCACCATCTTTCTGTATGTCTCCAGTTCTATTTTATTTATGGCATGTACTGCCACCTCTTTATCCTTGCCCAGCTCTGTCTTCAGAATTAATAATTTTCTAAATAGGCTCTTCTCCAGACCGTCGTATNTAAAGAACTTAATGAAAGAGTCGAAATGAAACACAAAACTTGAACTGAACTCTCTGTATTCTCGAAGAAGAATGTGTATTTTTGAAAACAAGTTTCGGAGGTCTAAAAATAAATCGCTCGATGAACCTCAAAAGGAAAGAAACATTATTACTTAATATTACTATGTACACAACTTAAATCTAACTATATACATCAATAAATGTCACTAAAAGAAATAAAATTTATTTGAATTGAAACTTTAAACATTCCGCCCGCCTTGCCGAACGGTCGGCAACTTATAAAACAAAAATTATAGAAAACGAATAGCGGGTATAGAAGGAAATCTGTTTACTGTCTACCTACACAGACTTGAAATGAAAACAAATTGAACCGAACAGAACATAACTTCAAAAGAAAATTAGTTTTGTTTACGTTAAATAATGAATGAAATTGAAAACTATCTTCAAGTTAAAGAAAATACATACTGAACTGTAATGAAACAAATAAATTGGAAATAAACTTGAAACAAATACAAAATGACATTTTTTTTTTTTTTTATAATGAATTATCAACTGGAAGTACACTTAGTTTAATTATAGGACGAATCAAGGTAGTAGTTGGCGTTTTTATTGTTGCCACTCGAACGTGACCATCAACCCCAGGATGAAGTTCAACAATTCTTGCAAGCATCCATTTAGATGGAGGTAGTCGTTTATCCTTTACTAACACCAATTGTCCCACCATAGGTATATTTTGTTCATCAAACCATTTAGTCCTTACATTTACAGATTGCAAGTAAAATTTTTGCCATTTTGTCCAAAAGTCCTCAACCATGCGGCGAAGCAGTTTCCACCGGTTTAGTCGATTAATATTTTCTGTTAAAATTGAAGGCTCCGGAACAACTGTTAATGCTTCTCCGATCAGAAAATGAGCTGGTGTTAGAACTTCGTAGCTATTTGGGTCATCAGACATTGCACTCAGAGGACGTGAATTTAAAACCGCCTCAATTTGAATTAGAACTGTGCTAAACNTCACAGCCTATTATCACATCGATTAGTTCCTCCTCTATTCTCTTCTCCATCATTTCGTGCGCCGCGTACACTCTATTAAAGTTCAGTTGGGCTACCTTTATTCTTCTATCGCCTCTTTTCTGCCTTGCGATACTGTCATTCTTAGCCATTTACTTTATTCTTTTATTTCTTTAGTTTTCTGGCTGTTGGGACTTTGAACTTTCTTTCAGTCCCTTCTCCTCACCTTTCTTCTCTCTCTGCTTTACTTTTCTCGATTGTTGTTTTGTCCATTCTGCCTTCTGTGCCTCTCTCAATCCTCGTTCATCATTAGTTCTTATTTTTATATTCTCTTTTTCTTTCTCTCTTTCTCTGGTGTTTTCCATCTCTTCTCCTCCGATTTTCGAACTTTCTTTCCTATTACCTCTTTCCTGCTTATCTTCCTTTATTTGTGCTCTATACATCTCGCACCTCATGCTAGCCGCTCTGTGCCCTTCTTTTTCACAATCCGGGCATCTTGTTGGGTTTTTGCACTCTTTTGTCTGGTGCCCTTCTGTTCCACAGTTGTAGCAGCAGTTTCTTCTGTCCGGTCCTACACAGTCCCTAATTAAATGTTTCGGCGACCAACATTTTAAACATCTTTTAATTCTTGTTCTTTCTTCTATGGAACACATTGATAGTCCTATTCTTATTCTTCCTGTTCTAATCAATTTCCTTGCCCCTCTCTCCGTCATCTCTACCGTTACTGCCATCATACTCTCCGCGTATACTTGTGTCTCTAATGATCGCTTCTTCTATCTCCTCCTTCTCCGTTGTTAGCATTAATCCTTTTATGTGGATCGTCTTAGTCGTTTTTCCCTCCCCGACTCCTCTTTCCGTTACCTTTTGTCCCTTCTCGTCCCCCAGCGCTTTCTGTATATCCATTACTGCTTCCTTGTCTTTTTGCGTTGTAATTAGAACTTTTCCATCCCGTGTACTTCTTATCCCCTCTATTTTATCTATTCCCTTTTTACCCTCGAGCTGTTGCTTAATTCCTCTCACCGTCTCTTCATAAGTTTTCCCCGGTCTTTCTACTATTATTGCGTATGTCTTTCTTTCATTTTGTGTCTTTTCCTCATTTTCTTCTTCTATTTTTGCTCGCGTTGTATACAGTTCTATTTCTATATCTGTTCCTTTAAACACTATCTCTAACATCTTTCTGAAGTTGCTCAGGGTCATCTGTCTGATGTGATGTATTGCGATCTTCTTCTCCTTTTTATTCCTTTCTTTTAATTCGCTCATCACTTCCCATACTGATAGGTCTGTTTTCTCTACCGTTAGCTTTATGACTTTTTCATTTCTTTCTATTTCTTTTTCTCTTATCTTCGTCTTTGTTGTCCGCTCTATTTCTTCGTATTTTTCATTTAGTTCTTCCAAACCCGGATATGCCATTTTAAATTGGCTTTGTATACTTCGAGTCATATTCTCGTCTTCAGGTTCCACGACCACTACTCTAGTCGTAACTTGTTGCTGCCACAATGGATTTCCTTCTTTTACTGCTGTTCTGTTGTAGTATCTTCTCTTCCATTTCTTATTTACTAGCCTTTTCCACTCTTCGTATGTAACGGCTCTATTTATCTCTTGTTCTTCTATCATTTCCTGTGACCTTTCCCTTATCTCTTCTTCTGTTTCTGTCTGTGTGCTCATTTCCTTCACTTCCTTTCTCTTGCATTTCACCTTCCCTTCTCCCATTTCTTGTATCCATTGTTTTGTGTCCTTTCTGTTCAATATGTCCGCTTGTCTTTCTAGCAACTGTACAGCTTTCTTGATCTCCCTCTTTGTATTCTGCTCTTCGTTCTGTTTCAATGTCTTGATTAGTTTCATAATATTTTCTATTCCTTTCTTAACAATCTTTGCCTGTTCGTTGTATGATTCTTCTCTTTCCAGTTCCTCTTCCTCTGAATCTACTCTTCTTCTTTTCATAGTGCCACTGTCAATAGACCAGGACCTTATTCTTTGTGGTGTCTCTCTCTCCAAGTCCATTACTTCTGTGCACAGCCAAACATGCTCTTTTTTTTCTCTTGCCTTACTCTCCTCACTCTTCTCTATTATTGTTTTGTCTAGCTCTTCTCCTGACTCATCTTCACTGTTCGAAGTATCTGTACTGCTCTTCAATTGACTCTCTACTCTTGGGGGTGTACGTGCCGTCTTCGTACTTCTGCCCATTACTCTTTCCTCCATCTCTCTCTCGATTACTTCATAACTCACGTTATGTTGCTTCGGTCGTCTTACAGGTCTGTCCGTCGCCGGGGGGTCGACCTTACCCTCCTCCCGGTCCCTTTCCGAGGCTGATTTCTTGTTTTCCATTAATCATATTTGGAGATGTCAAAGCGCCTTCCTTACGCTCCGTTTTATCCCTACCGGCAGGTACGCATACTCGAGACTTCACACAACGCTACCCCTCACACTTAAACACAGAACACATAGTCCTGTAGCTCCCTGTGTTTCTAGACAGGGGCTGTTCATGGGGGATCTCCGCCCAGGATCACGCGGCCCCCAGTTTTTTTGGGAGGTATGCTCCTCCTGGAATTGGGAAATAGGGATGAGAAGAAGGAAAAGTGGGTGGTGGTTTGAAAGCCCCCTTTGTTGGGAGGACATCCAAGGCTCACGTACGGCAGGGTCGCCAAACCCTGAAACAGGCCTATCCGTTACTGGGATTGTACCGGAGTGCCTGCCCGTTACCGGAAACCCAACCCAA